CCTGGGATTATGTGAATACACTGGTCCTTTTAGTCCTGATATTGAGAACTGAGATAACTAAGGCTATCATAACTTAATTAAAACTTTGTGGAGCTGTTTGTAGTCCTGTTCTGTTACTTAAACCGCATAGTACCTAGGACTAGATACAAGAACAGAGGCAACAGTACCAGTTACACATGGGTCACTTTAGGTCAGGCAGCGGAGGGTGGGGGAGGACACCTCTGCGGTGTGCGTGGCTGCAGCGTAGGGGTCTCCCTGAGTCTGGTTTCCCAGCTCGGAGGTTTCCCCATGACCAGATTACAACGTGGCTGTGAGAAGCGCACGAGTTCGTGCCACCCAATTACTGGCACCAGGAAAGCCCACAGCGCGTGCTAGCAGGCACTATGACTGTTAGGAGGCCACTGAAGAGAAAGAGTTGGAGAGTCAGGAAATCGTAGCACAGGATACTCGCCCGCACACAGCGGCACAGCTCTAGTAGCCGAAGCCCGGAAGTAGCCTGTATGCCCAGCTACAGACAAAGGGATTAAGATTGAGGTATTTCACCTAATGGAGTAGTACTCAGGTATTACGAAGAACAGGTTTGGACATTTGTGGGAAAATGGGTCCACAGTGCTAAGTGAAATACGTCAGATACCAGTTAAATATCCTAGGGCTTTTCTTATGCGAGAAATCCAAAGCACAAGTAACTTAAAGAGCGAAGTAGAAGACATGAGGGGAGGTGGAGGCAGGCTTTGCAGGGCGGGAGACAGAGCCAGCGCCGGCCACGCGAGGGCGCCGAGGCCGCGACGGGCGTGTCTGTTCTGTGTCACAGGCATATGCAGAAGAAAACAAATTTTAAGAAGTTATACTGGCTGAACCTTCATGGGAAACGAGATGTTTTAAATGTATATTGCATAAGTGGCAATTTACAACGTCAAAGTATGACTGGCTCCTATCTAATAAGAGATACACTCCCGAGAAAGGAAGGAACGGTCAGCCTGAGAAAGGCGTGCGGGCGCTTCCCGGAGAAGGCCTTCTGACCGCACACCCCCATCGTGCACACCCCCATCGTGCGCACCCCCATCGTGCGCACCCCCATCGTGCGCACCCCCATCGTGCGCACCCCCACCGTAGGTATTGCTCAGCGTCGTCAGGGATTCGCACGCGGCCTGCAGCAGGGCCGGGTCCGACTGTGCTCAGGCAGGAAACTGGAGAACAGCATTGGTTTTTGGTTTTATCTATATATGCTTAATTTTTTATCAGTACCTACGTATTATATACAGCGATCTCGATCCTCGCAGGGCGACACACCCCGACCCTGCGTCTTTTTCTGACTCTCCTCGGCTGCTCGAGTCCAGCTTTCCTTCCCAGCCTGCGCGCGCACCGTCCCCGCCCCCTTCTCCCCTTGTCCCGCCCCCACTCCATTCCCATTGGCGCCCGCACACGTCCGTCCTACTTCCCAGCGTGCCCTGCAGCCTGCACCCCCTTGACCCAGCGGGTTTCTCCTACAAGGGCGGAAATGCAGCGTGTAATCCTGCGAGTCCTGTTTATTTCACTGATGATTATGGCCTCAACATGCATCTTGGCTTCGTAAAGCAGAATTCTTGACTTTTAAGCTTCAGTGGCACTATTTGATTATGTATAGACTCATACTTGGAGGGGCACTATTTTTTCTCGGCAAGGTGGGATACAAACAAGTACTTAAGATGAATGGAAAATGTCTCAAAGTACAATATAAAAATTTTAAAGACATTTGACTGTCAGTACATGTTTTTTCTGAGTGAATAAAATATAGTAATAAAAAATAAAGCATAGGTGTAGATATACAGATTTCAACAAGGCTTGTG